CTTTATAGGACTCAAAGTTTATGTTTACGTGGTGCAATACAGTGCAGTGGAGAGATTATTGAGCCAGCTCAAATTTAGTTCTGGAACAGGAAGCAGTGTAGTCTTGTTGGTAACACCATTAGGCTTGTTCCTGGACCTTAGGTAAGATCTTTGCCTGGCACAGCACTGTGCTGTATATACATTTATTTGCACTGTGTAGATATACCCAGAGACAACAAAACTACTTCATGGCTGCAAAACTAGTGACCCCTTCTTCCAGGGGTGTGCAATGGTACATCAGCTGGCTAAATCTGTTCTTCCAAAAATGCTGGAATGCTGAGAAATTAAAGAACAATTTCAAGAAGAAATTCATGAAGAATTCATTAAGCCAGTGGGTGTCAAAGATATAGCCTACAAACCAGATCTGGCTATATCATCTGGCCTGTATGGCTCTTGGAAAAAATGGGAATTCAGGGACAGGATGCACAGCCATATTCCAGTATATGGAATGTGTATCATCCCCTTCCCGTCCCCCCATTGGGGATGTTTATCATTGGCAGAGGGCAAGCAATGGGTGTGTTAATCTCCATAGCTCTGGCACCTGCAGTGGTTTTGCCCCTGTTGCTCATCCTGCCACTGGAAGTGGGTCTAGACCTGGCCTAGGTTGAGCCCTGAGATTTGGATCTGGTGGGGGAGCCAAAGGATTTTAACACCTCTGCTTTAAGCTATGCTTCAGGCTCTATGCAGGTTACAGACCCCTGTGCAAGCTCCTGAAATCCTGACTTGCCAAACAGATTTAGATCCTACCATTCTTATTGTCCTTTAACTATTGCAGGGAAAGCGAGCGTTAGGTAGGAATTTTCATGTCAGAGGTTTGCAAAATGTATTGTGTTAAAAACTGTATATGTTGGGATAGCAAAGTATTTTCAGCAACATTATGCCATGGAGCACCAAGCTAACTTTTGTTCAGTATTGTTTCCATTGTGGTCTGGTTCTTGAATCCCCAACCATACTTCTGTTGGGTTTTTTTTGGTTGGCTTTGTGGGGAGGGGGGGTGGTTAATGTCTGTCATCCAAGTGTTGGATAGGCACAGTTCTACACAGACTGAAGTGGTTTCACTGAGGTAACATTTTAATACATCTGTGTTTTTTGTTTTTATAGAATGGGGTAAACCTTGGTACCTAGAAGGCCCAGATAACCATCTTGACTTTTTAATGTCCCCTTTTTAATTGCTAATTTATTGTTTAAAGTAGACAGTTGCATATGTGTGTAGCAGTAACATACCTTATGACACTAGTGAATCAGCATTTCCAGTACCATTATGTCATTCTTAGATGTACTGAAAGCACTATTTTCAGGATCGAGTCAAGAGAAGGTGGCTTCTTTAGAAATGGGTCATTTATACTGCCTTTTCCTGTTCTCTGTTCCCTGTCTGTTCGGAGCCCCCCTGCCCCTTCACTCTATCTGAAAAAGCTGCCATTATCTTTTTCTTTTTTTTTTGCGTAAAGAACATATCATCTGACCTGCAGGGTTCCTGGTGTGGCTGGAAATTCAGGGCATTTTTACACATGCTGAGGGGTGGAGGGGGCGCATTTTAATTAGAGTGATTCTCGGGAGCCATTCAAATTAAAGTACTCGCAGCATTTCGTGTATTTCTTGTCCTGCGTTTCAAAATGTCAGTGGAGGTGCTTTAACTAAAGCCCCCACCATCATTTTGAAATGTGGGGTTGCTGAATACACGAGATGCTGCAGCACACTGGAGCGTTCTGATTGGAACGCGTCGGAGCACGTGTATAGGTGCTGTCAGAGCAGGGCCCACAGCTGAATTCCAGCATCTAGAGCCCTGTTGGGGACGTGTATTGGTAGCAGAGGGACTAGCAATGGATTGCATTATACTGCCTCTTCATTATGTGCTAACAATAACACCTTCAGAAAAGTAGCAGCCTCCTTCCTTTGCTGTGTCACCCTATTGTCTTCAGTGTTGAATGAAGGTGGTATAGGTGAAAAATCTCTCTTTCCCCTGAACCAGTAGAAGTAAAAGGAAATATATAGGCTCCTTGGATGCATCCTACCTCATTGCCTACTTGAAGAATATACACAACAAAATATGCTAGCAAAGGGAAGCTATAAAATTGTTTTATTAGCAGACATGGAAAAGCCAGGCTCAAGAAAATGTGAGCAGTGAAATTGTATGAAAAGATTATGAAAGAAAAATGATAGAAATCCATTGATATTAGTGTTGTGAAGGGTGCCTTGCAGATTAATTTACTGGTGTTGAGAAGCCCTAAGTGAGTGTATTAGCAATTCTCTGTTCACACTTTCATGAATCATGCTCGAACCATGCCCAATTGTTGTTAAACAACATAAAAAATTCATACACTGTCAGTCCCATTACACAAGGCAGCATAGTAGTTTACCCAGCCAATTTCTGCTACTAACACAACACTTGGGAAAGGAATGACACAAACAAGGTAATGAGGTTTAAACTAATTATGAGGTGGCAACTGTATAATTGAGCAAAAGATAATGAGTGGAAAACTAAGGTTCTCAGAAATGTTTTTCATAGCCTCATGATGAGTGCTGTGCAGATGAAGATTTGATAATGGCCTTTCTCAGGAATTATCCGTGTAGAGCAATAACTTTGAACAGCATTGAGTATTGGTAGAAGGAGTGGCAAGAGAAAAATAAGAAACTATTGTAATTTCAGAATGTAGTGCCATACAAAGGTACCCAACTAGCTCAGATGCCAGAAGTATAGCCACTTCCTCACAGAGCTCCATGTGAGCCAGTATATCTCTGCGAAGAAATAAAGTAAAATCTTCAGGTAGAGGGTCATGATAGTGCAGCTGTACCAGAGTACCATGTGCCATGTAGACAGATCCCCAAAGAACTTTGCATTAGAAGTATAGGCATGTGCCTAACACATTTTCAGCCATCCCATTTGATTTCACTATGGGCAGTCGTCAATCCTGTAGATCATGCTATACATGTAAGAGGGCTGGTCAGGTGCCTGAGGAATCTGAGAGTGACACAGCTTGTTACAAGTTTCACAGATCCATGTGTTATCTAAGTTGGAACCCAGGTTTACAGCATGCTGCTTCCTTCTTTCTTAGTTTGTTTCCATCCTCTGGATCAAAGCCGCTTCATATTGAGCTGCACCCAGTGCCAGATGTTCCCTCCAGATTGGATGGGATTCTGCACGCTCCTCCCAGCTTTCTTTGTTGATGTTGAATGACTTAATATCATTTTTGCACATGTCATGGTATTGCCATAAAGGGCAACCTAGCTTTCTAGAGCTATCTCGAATCTCGCTATACAAAATATTTTGGAGGATATGGTCTCCTCCTATTCTGCTGACATGGCTGAGCCTTTGCAACCTCCTTTTTTTGGTAGTGGTTTCTAAGTGCATCAGTCCTGGGGTAAACACACATGTATAGTGAGATCAGCCTGATAGTGAGATCACTGAAAGACTGATCTCACTATACATATACCTTTACAAGACTGAGTTTGCATATGTATGTAGCTTTGGAAATTCCTTCTTGGCGTCTGCCAACAAAATGCCCATATACAAAAATAGCTCAATAGAGCTATAATAGAAATGTCAGAGTTTTAAAATTAAAACCAGTCATTTTTATTTAGACTGTTCCTAGGAAAGCCCAACATTTTCCATTTTTGGAATCTTCATTTTAATCTCAAAACAGCAAATATTTAAAGTTTCTTGGTGAACTGCCTCAGGTTGTATTGTTTAAAAGGCAGGCAGCCCTCATATTATCTCTTTAATAAAGTAAATTATAAGAATTTAATTTAAATTATTTTAGACATCCTATTTGGGCAGTGTGGATTTCTCTTAGTTTTGTTTTGCCATTTCCTGCCTTCAGTGATAAGATGAAACTGGAGAACTTAAAGGGACCCTTCAGTACGTTTGATACCAGATAATGTACCATTAAACCACACATCTCAAATGGCTGCCTGAGATCAATGTTCATTTGCATGCGCTCTTGCATGAACAGCGGATAGGTGTCATGGCCAGAACACTCTCTGATTTCCATCTTATTCATTTATGGTACAGTAAGTGTAGGCATCTCAATGCATTGGGATGGGTACCAGAAAAGTAAAAAAAAAAAATTCTAGTTGATGGTAGTAGAGAATGATGCAAAATGAATTCTGCTTCTCCGAACAAAGATAATGAGAGTAAGTAGATGTCTGTTTTATTTGTGTCAGTGTATTGCTGTATCTGCTTTCTTAGTGGTATCTGAACCTGTCATGTACATTAATTTATTAAAGCCTTTAATTTCTCAGAAGTGTGGCAAAATACTACCTTAATTTTATGCATGGATAGTAATGTTAAATGTTTTCCCTAGGCTTGGACAAAAACATATGAGAGAGAGATGGAGCTAGAATCTACATAGGGCTATTAATTCTGTGTCTTAACCACAAAACTAACTCATAGGATGATGATCTAACAATCCTCAAAGTTTGAATTAGACGGTGAATTAAAGAAATGACAGAGGGCACCAAAAACATTTTGTAAGCCTAACAGTTAAAATGCATTCATGTTTTCTGTAGTTCTTTCATCTGCTGTGGTACTGATTTAGTTTTTCCAAGGTTTTGTAGAACAAAACTATTTTTCTCTCTTACATGTATTCATAACTGTGTGTGCATACTAGAGCAACTGCTCTGGAAACATGTTTCCCTAAAGCAATACTGTTTTCTTCAAACCCCTGTTATTCAGTGGTGCACTTGCTCTTGCTTAGTAACTTAGATAATCCTGGGAGGCATCTGAAACATGGTTTAAGTTTACTTAGCTTTGAATAATTTGTCAGAACAGATGCACAAAAAATACATTATTCACAAAGAGCTGAGTGCTCGCTTTTCATTAGCTCTGTATTTGCTTTTACTGGATACTTAGATTTTGTTGATTTCTCTTGGGCATGAAATATACATGTCTTTAATAATGAATGTGGTGTCTGTTGAGGCTTGTATTTAACAAAGACTTACTACGTTGTGTTTTTTTTCATTAGATCCCTTTCAGTTGCCCTGCAAAAATGAGCCTGCAAAGGAACAGACAGTGCAACCAGCCGTAGCCCGGAAGCCTACTGTTATTCGAATCCCAGCAAAACCAGGGAAATGTAAGTACTTCAAACCTAATTTCTCCTCTTAAATTTTCAAAAAGACTTGCATCAAGGAATTGTCTTCTTAGAACCAGGGTAGACATGCTGAATTGCCTATAGCTAGAGAAATTTTAGAGAAATTTCAGCTGAGTTGACTGTCATTCTAACACAAACTGACTACTATTTTTTAATTTCCAGTGGCGAGAAGATACATAATGCTAAGCACTGTTATTACACTGTATTTTAACACAGTTTGCTAGGAGGATGTAAACATGATTTTACTGGCCTGGTATTGATGACAACAAGGATTTTTTGGAATGGAAATCGATAGCTATTCAAATATTGGCCTTTTGCTCCTGTTTGTTAAGACAGTAAAGGTGCACCACAAAAACTCTGGTAGCTGCAGCCATTTTTGTCATGGTCCCATCTGCAGCTTCCTCACTGCTAACCAAAATGCTTGCCTCTGTCTCCCAAACCTGACCACTAAGAGCTGGCACTAATTAGCTGCCATGATCCTGGAAAGTGATACAAGAGGGGCTTGATTAGTCCTTGTATTTAAAATATTCACATGTAGGCATCAATACATGTTTTCCTAAATTCACATTTAGATTAGTAAACCACAGGACTTTTTCTCTCAAATTGGGGAAATCCTCACTTTCCTAATAAGCTCAAAACTGCAGGCAAAAAAGAGAAATGATGCAAGAGGAAATTAGAAAAGCATTTTAAAAACCCATGTTCCTCTGCACTAGACATGTGTAGTCAAACTATCCTGACTCTTCTTGAGGTTTGTTAGGAGATCTTTTCTTTTGAGGGGAGAACTGAGATAGGAGGAGGAAGTGTATTGTGGTATATTTCTGGTTTTGTTTGTTTGCATACAAATTGTTAGAAAAGCATAGAGGAATCCAAATAAATCCAATAATCCAAAATATTTAGTAAAACGCAAATTTAATCTGATTGTGCTCTTCCATTCAAGGCTCAGTACTGATCAGCAGGTTTGGAGGCAGGAAGAACTTTTTCCTCTAGGTTAGGTCAGATTTGGAAAGGACTTTTAAGGCTATTTTGTCTTCTTCTGTAGTCCTTTCTTTAGGTTTCTTCTGATCACAGATTAACCAACTACAGTGGCAGGGGATTGGAAATAACATTGTTTCCCCTGCTTTTCTGTGGCATGTTATTTTACAGAGCAGTGGTTTTCAACCTTTTTTCATTTGCGGACGCCTAAAAAATTTTGAATGGAGCAGTATTGTCAACCCCACCATGCCAAAAATCATGAGAGACACACTTAAAAAAATCAAGAGATTGGCACTTAAATCATGCGATGCTATTTTAAGTGTGTGTGGGGGCATTATTTGTGAAGGTGTTGGGGACTGTGTGTGTGTGTGTGTGTGTAGGGGGAGGGGGGTTAGAGCCAGGAGAGGAGGCTCCCTGCACACCCTGGTAGGATGTGGGGTATACTATGGGTCAAGTGAGAAGCAGCAGCAGGACTGGGCGGGCTCTGGATTGGGAGTGAGGAGCAGACACAAACACAGAGACACAGACAGCACCCAGCTGGTATGTGGATAGAAAGGGGCGGGGGGGAGAGGGAAAAGGCGTTTGCAGGGGTGCAGATCACCTCATGGTGAGAGAGGGAGCGAGGCAGGGGCAGGGGTGAATGGGACCTCGGGGCCAAGGTGGGCTGTCTAGAGGTGCAATGGAGGGGCACAGCCCCCCACAGAAGTACACAACCCTGGGGGAGGCATGGGGGCATGTGCCCCCCACAGGGCAGAGGCGGGCTGCCTGCTGCAGGATGGGGCTCTGTGCTCTGCTGTCTTGCCCCAGGAGCTCAGCCATGCGATGCCATTGCTACCTGCTGGGCAGGCAGGGGACATGGGGAGCTCTGGCCATGCAGCACATCCCCTGCACCCCCAGCGGCAGGAGGCACACCGGGGTCACGCAGCTGAGCTCCTGGAGCAAGGCAGCAGAGATCAGAAAACAGAGCTGCAGCCTGTCTCCAGCCTCCCCCCC